GAACAAAATTTACAGGGATACAAGTGATCTATAGCTAACTAGCTCATGAACACACTCTGTATTAGCCCTTGTACTACTTGAGAAACACTCTCATCAAAGAACCATGGTTTCTCTCATCTTATCTTCTTTTCTCTCTTTGTGCGGCTCTGCTTCAGTAAGTCTTTATATAGTGCAGCAACAAAAACCTAAATGAGTCTCTTTTGTGTTGCTTTAATTTGGACCAATCATCTTTGAGACACAAAAAGACAAACCGTCCTTTTGAAGCAGATGCTGCAATAAAGCAGAAACCCATCTTTTGTGGTCCCAAAATCATAACCTAACCAGAGTTTATATTAACTCTAGTTACCATAAGTTTGACTTATGAATTATACTTAGTCATCAAGTTCTCACTTTCAGAGTGTGATTGGCCATTGCATAAAAGCTAATCTTTTTGTGAGCTTAATTAGCAATTTTAGGATTTAGTGTGGTTTCGACTTGAGTAATAATAACGGACGGGGTTATAGTTTGGAAGATTAGTTTTTAAGGGGGGTATTTTCATAAATACGAAGAACACAATATCTGCCTCTTCTGTTTTTTCCCTAAAAGCACGATCAAGAGCTACGAAGGAAGCAGAAAGGAGGAGAGAAGAAGATGGTGAACTATGTACTTAAAATCATAGCTGATCTGGAGAATCTCACAAATCTCCAGCCTTCCGGTGGCTGTGACGATGCCAACTTCCCTTACCTCTTCAAGGTTTCCTCTCTTTCTTCCTCCGTTTTCGCTGCAGTTTCATGCTTCGATTCTCTCTTCTTCTCTTTTGCTATATTGGGTTTGTTTTCCTGGTTTCGTCTAGTTGCGTATGATCAACGAGTATTCTCCCATTGCCTAGGCTCTTGGTGAGAATTATCTGCTTGTAGGATTTGGTAAAGCTTGTTAGGGTTTTCATTTCATTCTCAAACTCCCTGGAATTGGTTCTGATAGAATCGTAGAAATCACTTTTCAAGGGTTTGTTGTTTATTTACAATGATTCGCTGCAATTAAGTGTTCAAGACCAAATAGAATGACCATGTTACTGAATACTTAGTATACGAGTCTGATGAATACTGCTCATGG